TTTATATGTTTCATTGTCCTTCCCCCTTTTATTCTTTTTGAATTGTGATATCTTTATATGGAAAGCACATCAGCTTTTTATTAGATTTTTGTAAATATGTTCTAGTTATTTTTCTTTTTAACTTTACTTGCTTTTTATTGACAGAATTTTTAACATTTGTATATTGTCCAGTGTCCAGTCTTTTTTCTTCCTTTGGTTTCTCTAATTGTTTTGTGTTTAGAAGATCCTTTCCCTTCCTGATATGTGACAAATACTCTCTTTTTCCCCCTCATTTTCTAAAGATGACTTTTTTTGTTCATAACTGTTTAATTCGTCTGGAATTTATACAGACAACTACCATTTCTCTCACTCCTTTGTGTTTAAAAAAAATGCTTCGTTTGCTGGAGAATATTTGGAAAACAATATATGGTGAAGAAAATTAATGTTACCCACAATCCTACAACCCACAGAGCTATTGTGAATACTGTGGTCTGTAATCTTCAGTAAGGTGTCTTCCCGTGAATACATAACCAGATGGCAACCTTCATGGACTCACTGATGATTTATGTTTTCCTAAATCAACATGTAAGTGGGAGGTTTCCATGCCATTAACTACTTTTCTGTGCAATTTATAGTAGTGCCTGGAGCTGTTACAAGCATGGATTGTTCCCAATTTTTTTTAACTAAAAGAGCTCCAGTGCACATCTTTACAAATATTTGTCCTTAGGATAAATTTCTGCAATTCACTTTCTAGGTAAGCACACTTGAAAAGTTTTGAGAAGATGTTTCCTGATTCGGAAAAGCTGTGTGAGTTCCACTAGTGGTTTCACTTTCACTGAGGGGCTCCTCTTCCCAGAATGTATCTTCATCAACTGTGGGTGGTACTTAAAACCTGCCAATTCAAGGAGTGCTTGGGTGTCACAGTTGGTTAAGTGTCCAACCCATGGTTTCTGCTCAGGGTCATGAGATTGAGTCCTGCATCGGGTTCCATGCTCAGTGCAGTCTACTTGAATTCTCTCTCTCTGCCCACCCCCCACCCCCTGCAATAAATCTTAAAAAAAAGTTCCAGGTCAGAAATATGAAACATTTCCCCTCTTAAATGTACATTTCTTTAATTACTAGTAAGGATAGACATTTACAAAACATACTCAGAGGTCATTCATAGTTATTTTTTAGTAAATTGCCTACCTATGTTTCCTTTGCCCATTTTTACAATGTTTTCCCCTCCTTTTTTTTTTAATTAAAATTTTACTTCCTGTTAGTTAACATACAGTGTAATATTAGCTTCAGGTGTACAGTGCAGTCCTCCAGCACTCCATCCACTGCCCCGTGCTCATCCGAAGTGCTCTCCTTAATCGCTGTCACCTATTTCATTCACCCCCCACGACTCCCTGCCCTCTGGTAACCATCAGTTTGTTCTCTGTAGTGAAGAGTCTGTTTCCTGGCTTGCCCCCCCTCTCTTTTGTCCGTTTGCTCATTTGTTTTGTTTCTTAAATTCCCCATATGAGTGAAATCATAGGGTATTTGTCTTTCTCTGACTGACTTATTTCTCCTGCATTATACTCTCACTCCATCCATGTTGCTGCAAATGGCAAGATTTCATTCCTTTTTACACTTGCAGTTTTTTTTTAAGTAATTAGTTGTCTCTCAGAGGTTAATTGCAAACATTTTCCTCCCATTTGTCCTTTAATACTGCTTAAACTGTTTTTTAACATGAAAAATTTTAACATTTTAGTTTAATCATATATTTGAATCTGGCCTTTGTGGTTTCTGTCATGCTTGAAAGTAGAAACAAATGGAGTCATGATGCTCTGAAGACCACATGAATCCAGTAAAATTAGGACTAATTATTAACTGAATAAAAAGAAATTACTCCATTTTTGCTTAGCAATTGAAAAAAACTGAATAAGCAAACTGAAATTGATACAAAAAATAAATCCTCTACTGAAAAGTCAGCTATTATTATGAAAGGCAGGAGGCAACCTGGAAAGTAATGGCTATGAATGTTTTGGTGAGTTTTTTTTAGATGACATGTTTATTGTTATTAAAAATACTTGGATAATATATAGTTTAGAAAATGGTTTTTATATGTATTGTCTAAAATGTTTGAGGAAGACTGTTTGGCATGGTTCCCCTTGGCCCTAGCTTTCTGTAAAGCTATAGGTACTATAGCACATACATTTTTCAGGATTGGGCTCCAGGTGTTCTTACCAGCAGTGCAGGTGGTCTCAAGCTGGGCTAACCAGTATGACAGGTGAACTGGCCTTTGTTTCCAGTTTTACGGAGTAGAAATTGCATGCTATACTTAGTGACCTTCACATACTCTAAATCAAGGCTCTTTCTTTTATTCTGTTTATGGACTGTAAGTAAGAGCTACTAACACATGACATGCCATATATTTGGAGGCCTTAACTCTGGAAGTAAATATATTTGTTTTATTGGTAGTCTTTCTCATTATAATGTAAGGTGTGTAAGCTCAAATATTTTGTTTATAAATTAGGGCTTAGAACAATGATTCCCACATAGTGATTGCCTAATAAACCTATTGAATGAATATGTGATAGACAATTTTGAGCTCCAATAAACCACATCATCTGCAAGTTGGGGAACTAGAGGAAGAACCTTCTAAATGATGTCACTGCTTCTAAATGTACCCTTAGGAATAGGTTTCAGGAGGCCTGGGATGTAAGCCCTGGAAATTTTCCTTGAGGGTTTTATGAACCCTGGCTTTGTTTCTGCTAAGTCTTTGGTAGGTCTGTATCCTTTGCTGCATGTAGTGAATTTCGTAAATCTTTTAAATTCATCTTTCTCTTCTAAATTCATAGCTTTCTTTAACCTTGTCGATGGCATTCAAGGGAGTGCTTATTATTAGTCCCTTAGATTGTCTTGGGGTTGAAGATTTGTCAACCTTAGACATACTTGCTTCTTGGCTTTTAAAAAATCATTAATGGGGCCAAATTATGGTAATACTAAGACATGCCCTGAGGCATGTTCTGTGTTCTAGACACGCTCTTCCTCACTTCTATTGTGGAGGAGGCGTCCAGGTTCCCCCTGGGGGTCAGAACTCCCTTCCTTGCTGGTTGATTGAGAGGCATGAGGACCGCCAAGTGCTGGACAGTAGTCTGAACTTCCATTTCAGTGGAATCATTGTTGTGTCTCCTGGTGGAAACGTTCCTCCCTTTGGAGCTAGAACTCTAGTCTAGCAGCACTGGTTCCTAAGGTTACAGGACCAGGAGACAGAAAGTTTGCTAGTGGGTCATTACGGATAATGGTGAGTGCTACCACTCCCGATTCTACTCCTCGATTCTACCTGTGAACCCCGGCGATGGGAGAAGTACCACCATATATTGAATACAGATTCAGGGCGAATACAACCTCCTAGAGTACCTTTCTTCAGCCCTGCGAGGTATTGCCACCTAGCAGGCACCGTAACAGTCTTCAGAAGGACATTCCACCATTCTGTCGAACCAGCTGCTTCAGGATCGTGGGAAACATGCATGACCAGTGAATTCCGAGGGCATGGGCCCATTGTTGTTCTTCTGCTGTGAAGTATTTCCTAGATCAGAAGCACTGCTGTGACGATGGTGGGCAAGGCATTCTGAAAGTCCACAGATAGTAGTTTTGGCAGCAGCTTTGCGCGAAGTTCAAGGCATATCTGTACCCAGAGTAAGTGTCTGTTCCAATAAGGACAAATTGCTGCCCTCTCCATGATGGGAGTGGCCCATTTCAGTGAACCCACCACCAGGTAGCTGGCTAATCTCCCCTGGGGGTGGTGCCATATTGAGGTCTCAGTGTTGGTTTTTGCTGCTGGTGATTAGGCATGCAGTTGGTAGCCATAGCCAGGTGAGTGTGATGAGTAGACGTGCACACTGCTGAGCCCGTGCCTAATCTCTACCCTGCCATCGTGGCCACTTTGCTTATGAGCCCATTGGATCGTGACGGGTGGCGGGGAAAGAGGCTGACTGGTATCTGCAGAACAGGGAGTCCCATCCACTTGATTATTAAACTCCTCCTTTGCCAGGGTCCCCTTTTGATGAGCAGTCACATGGGACATGAATATCTTCATGTTTTTTTCCCCCATTCAGAGAGCACTGTCTGTACTACCTCTGCCCCAAATTTCAATGTCCTTGTTACCAGTTTTCTAGTCATGTTTCTTCCTGACCTTCTAGCCAGATCACTGGACACAACCCATGAATTTATAATTACGTGTCTGGTCATTTCTC